TATACGGACGCTTTTTTCAATAAAAATATACATATAAATATATATATATATATATATATATATATAAATATATATATAAAAATATATATATTTTATCAAAGTCGCTTCGTAAACACAACGTTGTCAGATTTTTTCCACTTTTAATAGAAATGCTGCCGTCGTTTGTCGGGTGGGGCAAGCACATCGAAAATGGCACCGGTAGATAAATCGTCGTCACCGAATCGACCTTTGAAACGGGAAGCGGGCGGTGGTGGTTGTTCGCTGTCTTGCCGCAACCATCCGTCGACTCGCTGTAATTCTCCTAACGCGGATTGCTCGTCGACCGCCTCGTCGTTATGTTGCCCTTCCCAATGCGGCAGGTACTCCACACCACCTTCGTCGTCCAAGTATCAATCATGTGTATCACCTTTGAGGTCCGTTCTGAAGAAACGCAACTGTTGCCGTAGCAACACGGGCCAATGTCTGTGTCAGCCGATGCCGCGCGATTGCAACTGTCCGCCGCCGATTCAAGTGGACGCTCGCGCCGCTCGCGAATGCACCTGCGAACGTCCGTCGTCCAGTAGTTCGGAATGCGCGTGTCCACCTAGCGAGCGAAGATTCCCGAAGACGACGATCAAGTGTCCGAACGCGCGTTGTTCCTTTCCGAAACAAATCCTGTCAAGTTCGAAATACTGCTGCGCGCGATGTCAACCCTGTTGTTGTTCATCGCAATCCTGCGAGCCGTGCACGTCTTCAGCTAAGCGCCGAACACCTGTTCAGCCGAAGATGATCTCTTGCCGGTCTTGTTCGCCGCAATCGTCCTGTTCATCTTGTCGCCCGTTGTCGACGCCTTGCGGAAAACTGACCACTTGCAGCCGACCCTCTTCGTCTTGTAGAACAGGTCAGTGTTGGCGTGAAATTGCCGGTAACGCGAAAAGTATCGTTCGTTTTGCGAACGAGAGGTGATGCCGAGAGATTAGAGAAATATATCTGGGGTGCGACTGATGTTGCACGGCTGATTGCGCGAAACTTCGAGGAGGAAACAAACTCCGGCGCAAATTGCGACGCGATATTGGACGAGAAGGAATTTGTAGAGAACTCGACGTCAATGACGTCTATTAATTTGAGGAAGGCCGTAGATCCTGCGATGTCTGTCGCGATCCGGAGAAAAAAGGTGAATTTGTCCCTGGAAATACTGTGTCGGAGGTTCTTCTTGAAGGATATATATCGTCGAGAAAAAGATCCTCGAAAGTTTCGCGTGGCACACTTCGCTCGCTCATCCCCCTTTCCCAGATAACCCTCGAAAATCCGATCGTTACACATTCTATAAGGAAAACTCGCCCGTTGACAAAAGCGTCTCTGGGAATGTTGTGCTCGCGAGATTATCGAATCGCGCGAAATCACCTGCTCGGATAAAACGGCGGGGGATTTACCGGAGCCAAATAAATCACCATCTCGGTGAAGTTCGTGTTGCTTCTCGCGATGCTTCACGTGTCACGACGCGTCTTCGAAGGCGGCTTCGGCAAAACGTCTTGACGACACACCAACACGCGCGCGTTGGATCGACAGACGACGCGCAGAGGTGGCGTAGAATTTTTCGAAGAAAAATACGATAGATTCGATCAATTTTTATCTCCCGCACAAATTGCATACAAAAAGTAGAAATATTGCGAAATTCCGTTCGCAAGATCCTTCGTTCTCTACAAATGTCTCACTTAAAAATATTGCTTTGCAAAGAAATACAAGTTTTTTTAAAGTTTAATTAATTTAAAGGTCCTCCCAACCAAATAAATTCTAAATTCATTATAAATTCAATAAACAATGAATTCAATATAAACAATGATCGAAAATGTCACTTGCATTAAAGTCGCAAAAATAAAAATAAAATATATAATATATATAATATATTTAATATATATAATATATATGTATATATAATATATTTAATATATATAATATATATATATAATATATTTAAT